GAGCTCAAAAAGGATCTCATTGGCTGGTGAACTTTGACTCAGATAAAACTCAATTTTTTTCAGCTAATGGTTTTTGCAACTCATTGAGTCATCTACCCTTTGTCATTTAGGACTACCCCTCACTTCCTATCTTTTTTGGAAACAATATATCAAATCCATTGCATAATTAGCATCTGCTAAGATTTCATCTCTTTATCATGCTCAACACTTTCTTACTCCGGATTCTATTCTTTATCTCTATAAATCTCAAATCCATTCTAGTATGGAGTACTGTTGCAATATCTAGGGCGGATCTTCCAATGATGCCCTTTCTCTTTTAGATAAGGTGCAAAAATGCATTGTAAACATAGTTAGACCTGTTCTTGCAGCCAACCTCCAACCATTATCATATCATCATAATGTTGCTTCTCTTTCTCTTTTCTACAAATACTATAATATGCACTGCTCTAAAGAGCAAGCATCTCTTGTGCTATCTACTAAAATTCTCATTCTCATGTTACTCGTCAATCAATAAAGTCCCATCCTTTTTCTGTAACTATTCTTAAGTGGTCACAATCAATTGCAAGTTTTATTTTATCGGTCATTGTCGAAAAAAAACCACTTAGTCGATAGTTTCAAAAATAAAAAAAGCTTAGCTAGCAAAATAGGAAATAAAAGGAAATTTAAATAAAAAAATAATAATAATAATAACTAAAATATTTTTTGTACTGTTTTTATTTACTTTAGTGGTTTTTTTACACATGCACAGAGCTATATGTTAAAAAGAAATGTATCTCCACTAAAAGTTTGAAGGTAAAAAACCTACAGGTAAAAAAAAAAGGGAATATGAAACAATTGTACAGCAATGCCTAATTGAAGCTTAAAAACTACATATATATAAGCATGCACCTTACTTAGAAAATATACTGAAAAGCTTAAAGGTATAAGAAACCTGAGTGTGAACAGATGTGTATCATTCAAAAATATACAACAATTTTTTTTTATTTACAAATAAGAAAAGATAAATGGTTACCAAGCAAACATATTACCATTGGTATTAAAAAAAAAAAAAAACTGTAGAAGTTGTAGCAATCAAACCATAAACATTCTGTGTATGAAGTTAACGCCTTATCCATATAAGCTAAAAGTGCGTATATTCAAGAAACAAATAAATATAATTGTATAACACAAAAAGTTATATATAAAAGTATACGTATGCATTGCATAGACATGTTCTTGTAGGGACAATATATACTTGTTACATTAAAATTATATGATTATATTTTACTAACAGATGGCAATTTATATTTTCGCTTTTAAAAAAAAAAATATAGAAAAATCATTATTTTTAATGTCAACTTAAAACTGTTAAAAAAAATTTTTTTTGAATTATTTTTTGTTGCTAAAAATAACAACCACTCTAAAGAAACAAAAATAGAGTACACAAATTATTTAAATTATTATTATTTGTTATTATTATTATTTTTATTTTTTTCTAATTAAGTTTATTTTTACTTCCTATTTTGTTAGTTTTGCTTTCTTTGTTTTTGAAACTTTTTTCAGCAACACCTAATATAATAAAACTTTCAAATGGCTGTGACCAAGTTGTGAATGCAACTTTTTTTTTTTTAATTTTAGCTGCTGAAGACAAATTTAATGAACTGATACTCAATAATGTAGTGACATATGGTCACTATAAACAAATGTTTAGGCTATGTGAAATTAAAGGTAGTATTTTTTTCTATTATATAAATAATTTTGAATCTTCACATAGTGGATATAAAAAGTTATTATTATTTGTTATGTTATTAGTTATGTTATTATGATTATTATTAAGTTATTGTTAGTTGTAAAACCATATAATGGCAGCACTAAATACTATTTTACTATTAATACTATGACTATAATCTAATGCAATATTTAAAATATTCTTTCTTTTAAAAATTATTATACAAAAACAAAAGTTTATATATATATATATATATATATATATATATATATATATATATATATATATATATATATATATATATATATATATATATATATATATATATATATAGGGTTGGGAATAACAGGATCCCAGTATTTGGAACAATTTATATTTGCTGAAATACTGGTGTTAAAAAAGTCAAATACCATTATTTCGGTATTCAAAATAATTTCACCATTCAAAAGCTTAAAAAGTTTAAAATTTTAATTGATTTTATAAATGGAAACAAAATTCATTGTACAAAATTAAATGTGGGTATATGATATTGGTTATTTTTAGTTTATTAAAAAAGTATATAAAATTCCAAACTGAAAATTAAATTATACATTAGTTAGTTAATTAGGTTACACAAAGCCACAGCCTTGTTAAACTCATCATCAGCTGAGTATACGCATCTACACCAAACTATGTCAGACACTTTTGAGTGGTATTTACAGTGAGCTGTAGTAACTATGTGACTGAATACTGTCCAGTAGTTGTTTAAATTTATCAACTGATGTTGCCGCGATGACATTATCTGGCAAAGCATTCCAGTCATTAACTACACGGTTGTTAAAAAACTTATGTCTGATTTCGCAGTTCCTAACAATTTTGCAATGAAATCTGGTTCGATGTTGAGCTCTGGGTGCTTGCTATGCTGCAAGGCATTACGTGCCAATTAAATATGTTTAAATTGTTGAGAAGCTTATATTTTTGAATAGGATCGCCTCTTTTCCATCTGTTTTCAAGAGTAGTTAATTTCATGATTTTACATCGAGTTTTGTAGTCTCTATTTTTCAAAGCATGAGGAACTTTCGTGGCATTGCATTGTACTTTTTCAATTTTTTTTTATGTCACTATCAATGTAAGGGTTCCAGGCTTGTATGGCAAACTCCAGATGTGGTCTAATATATGCAACAAATTTTTTTCCAAATGTCAATGTCTCTTGATACAAATGTGTGTTTAAGAATTCAAAGCATATTGTTTGATTTGTTTGCAACTATATTGCACTGTTGAGCATAATAAGATTCTCGGAGATTAGAGTTCTGAGATCTTTTACGGAATTTGTGACTTCTAAAACTACTCTATTGGTTGTATTGCCATTTATGATTTCATCCAAAATGTAATCAAATTTTATTGTTCCAGAGTTTATATGCATAATTTTACATTTTTTACATTTACCTCCAATAGCCAGGTTTGCGTCCATTCAACAATCTCGTCTAAATTGGATTGTCTTCATCATTTTCAACAACTTTTATGAGCTTCATTTTCAACAACTTTTATGAGCTTTTATCATCTGCATACATTTTGCAAATGGCTGATTTGACATGAATTGGCAGGTAATTAACAAATATGAAAAAGAGCGTTGGTCCTAACACAGAACCTTGGGGAACCTCGCTAGTTACATCAATCCAGTCAGATTTTGAATCTCCAAGTATAATACGCTGCTTGCGGTTTGTTAAGAAGGCTTTAATCCAGTTTAGAAGATTGCCATTTATACCATACATTTCAAGTTTTTGCAGCAATCTTACATGCAAAACTTTATCGAATGCTTTTGCAAAGTTAAGAAAAATTAAGTCGACTAGTTTTTTTTTTGATTTGCTAAAAGTCAAAAAGTTCATTGTTTCTAAAAGATTTGTGATTCAAGTCTTTTTTGAAACAAAACCATGTTGAGTTTTGGAAAGCAATTTGTTATTTACCAAATGATTGATTATTACTTGTCTAACTTTTTCCATAAGTTTGCATGGAACAGATTGTAAATTATGCATTTTATTATCGTGTTTCAAACTTTTAGAAAATTTGCTTTTTCACCAATGCAAATTAAGTAAGAGAATAATAAAAACACATGGAGGTTCTACAAGCAGTCTTCATACCCATTTAAAAACAATTCAAAAAATCAATTTATTAAAAAGAGATGTAGGTAGCCCCACTGTTTTAGATTCTTCAGAATTTGTACAGATATCAAAAACTTCTGTAACTATAAACAACTTTTTTAAAAGTGATAAAATGGATGATTCATTACCAGCTATTTTAGCTAGGATGACTGTGTGTGATGGTTTATCATTCAACATTATCTGCACATCATATGATATCAGAAAAGGCTTAACAGCCAGAGGCTTCTCTAACATACCAAAGGATCACAAAACAATTCACAAAATGGTCTTGAATTACATTTAAAAATATGTGAGACGAAGTAACTAAAGAATTATTAAGCAGAATTGCTAATAGAAACAGATTTTCTCTAACTTTCGATAAATGGACATCGATAAGAAATAGAAGTTACTGAAATATAAATGTCCACTCTGACAAAGAATTTTGGAATCTAGGATTAACTCGTGCTTTTGGAACAATTCCCGCAGAAAAATGTGTTGAGCTTGTCAATGATAGGTTAGGTGATTTTAAGCTTTTGATCAAGAATATTGTAGGTATTACCACTGATGGCGCTGCAGTTGTGATAAAGGTAGGCAGGTTAATTGGAGCACATCAGCAGCTATGTTTAGCGCATGGAATTCAGTTGGCTGTTATCGGCGTACTTTACAAAAAACCTAATAATGAGGATAATCTGCATAATGAAGAAGATGCCAACGTTACATCAGTTCATACACCCAGATTTGAAAAAGAGCAGAATTCTACAGATGACGACGAGTTAATTGATGAAGATTAAGAGAATGAAAATGGTTTACTCATAATCTCCACTGAAAACATTGATAATAATTCTTATTTTCTGGTACATCAGCAAACGTTACCATTAATTTAAAAAGTTTGAAAAGTGGTCAAAATATTTTGTTTTTCGCCTATAAAAAATGACAAAATCCTACAAAAATATGTAAAAGAAGAGTTCGGGAAAGAATTGTCTCTGGTTTAAGACTCAAAAACATGATGGAACAGTTTGGTGTCTATGATAGAACGTTTTGTCAAATTAAAAAATTGCATCAAAAAGAGTCTAATAGATTTAAAATCACCTATATTGTTTTCAAAAGCAGAGTTTAAAATGTTGTCAAATATCCTTTCAGTTTTACTTCCTATCAAGCTTACAGTTGAAGCAACCTGCCGACAAGATGCAACTTTGTTATCTGCAGATGCTCTTATTCAATTTATGATGAAATCAATAACTAGCCATCCATGTTCATTAAGTTATGAAATGAAAGTACGTATTCTTTAAAGAGGAACAGAAATTTCAAGTGTTTTGCAATATTTACACGATGCAGACTCCAATGAAAATCCAAGTGATGATGAAACCGATAGAGATTATGAATTATTTCTGATCAATACCAAAGCTGCAATTGCAAAAGTTATTGTTTTACAAATACAACATCTGGGTGTGGCCAACTTGCATAATGTCGATGATGATGAAGTTGATCAAAGAAATGAAATTTCTCTGACTTTAAAAGAAAAGTTGCACCAGATTACCTGAGAGTGGAATTTACCAAAATAACAAAGATCTAACATGCTCAATAAAAAAAGAAATGTAATTTTTTGAGACAAATGGCATAAGGGGCAAATACTTAACTTTAATAATTATTAGTTAAGTATTCAATCAACCAGTGTAGAATCAGAGAGCTTTTACGGTAGCAGGCTTAATCTGCACTAGAATTCGGTCAAGGATAGGAGATAATTCGCTTAACAATCTATGTTTTCTGAGGTCTTATATCGACAACCAACTGCAGAAAAAGTAGAACCTTAAAAATTTATGTTTTCTTTCTTTTCTTAAGAATAATATATGACTAACATTTTGTTTTTATTTTTTATTTTTGAATAAGTTAGTATATTTTTTTTTTAATTGCCAAACTATTTTTTAATTATATTATTTATTCATTCGTAGAAAAAATAATAATACCGGTATTAATAGCGGAATCCCGGGATTAGAAATTTTCAATACCGAAATACCAGTATTTGATTTTCAGTCCAGTATTCCCAACCTTACATATATATATATATATATATATATATATATATATATATATATATATATATATATATATATATATATATATATATATATATATATATATATATATATATATAGAGAGAGAGAGAGAGAGAGAGAGAGAGAGAGAGAGAGATTGTTTTGTAAAGTCATAATATTTATTTTATTTTATTGAAATAGTAATTGTAATTTTCAAAACTTCAAATTAAATACATTATTTACAATATTGCTTTAGGAAATGTTTCCAAAATGGAACAGTTGTATAGTAAATTATTGGAAAATGGGATGAAAGCAGATGTAAATATATATGAGCATATGATACGCACTTATTTAAAAAAGTAAGTTTTTTTAGAAATCAATAAATTGTTTTTTTTTTTTGTTGTTGTTGTTTTTTTTGTTTCTAATTATTTATCTAAAGAATTTTTTTATCTTGTCCTAGCTATAAATAACTATTTTTTCAGAAATCCTAAAAAAAGAATTGTATAGTTGTTAAATTTTAAGTTTATAATAAACATATTTCAAATTGTATAATTTCATAAAATAAAAATTCAATAGTTCATAGCAAATTCCTTATGATTTAATTAATTTTTCAAGCTGGCTTGGGCACCCCTTTGGGCCCCAAGCCAGCTTGGAGCGGCCCTGTATGAAAGTGTTTATAATTATCAAAAGCGTCAAATAAAGTAAAGAAAAATTAATGAAATTCATAATTGAAAATTTAATTAGGTATAAATAATGCAAGCACCCTATGAGTTAAATAAAGCTTTAAGAGAGTAAGCATATTATTGTTATTAAATAAACAAACAAAAATTAAAGGTTAAAACATTAGATCTAATGAAAAGATATAATTATTTTATAATTTTTCCACAACTAAATTAATTTTTAGTCGATTAGTAGAAGTCCATAGATTAAATTGACTATTCAATTTTTCAAAGTTGACTAAGTTGACTTTCAAACTAATTTGGACTTTTGACTAGTCAACTTTAAGTCGATTTAGTCAAAGTCAATAACAACATTATTGAATTTAGTACTTCTAGCTTTTAAAACAATCGCTCAACAACTATATTATAAATGATGTATTTATTATAAATTTTACATTTACTGGTATAAATCTATTATTAAGTATTTGTGACCAAGGTTTTGGTTTAATTTTTTCTCAACATGAATAGTATTTAAATTTTTTTTTTTAAACATCTTCGCTTCCAACAAGGCTGCAAGCAACCACTAATTAGTGTTGGAAGTTACTGGAAGAGAAAAGATGAAGGTTGTAGAGCAAGATAACGATTGACAGATGACTTAAAAGATTGCAAATTATATGAAACAGGAAAGCAAGATAAAGGAAGTGAATTCCAAAGAACTGATGTTCGAGGAAAAAAACTAGACAAATAAGAGTTTTTGGAGCACTTAGGAACAGTAACAGAAAAAGGAAGAGACTTAATTGCATGGCAAGTAACACGAAAATGAATTTTAGTAGATGGCACAAGAGACGCTTGCTCTTTAGAGTAGTGCCCATTATAGTGTTTGTAGAAAAGAGAAAGAGAAGCAACATTACGACGATGTGACAGCGGTTGAAGGTTGGCTGCAAGAGCAGGTCCAACTATGTTAACAATGCCTTTTTGCACCTTGTCTAAAAGAGAAAGGGCATCAATAGAAGATCCACCCCAGATATGGTAACAGTATTCCATACAAGATCGGATTTGAGAATTATAGAGATAGAGAATAGAATGCAGAGTAAGAAAGTGTCGAGCTCGATGTTAGCAGATGTTAATTTTGCAACAGATTTGATATAAGGTTTCCAAAAAAGATCAGAAGTGAGATTTAATCCTAGAAGATAAAGGGTAAATGACTCATCAAGTACATTACCGTTCATAAATATAGGAAGGTCTAAATTATTGCGATAATGATTGGCTGAAAAAAATTGAGTTTAATCATTTTCAAAAGAATATACTAACAGACAAAATATTTTATTTGGTGACACATCATGAAAAATAATATTTTAAAAGAGATATCTGCAATAGCTTTACTATGTTAAGGCCTAATTTCTGTATGCTTTAATTTTTCAGAAATAATTTATATGCAAATAAAGTTCTTAATTAGGGCCTAGTGTTAGGTTTCTATCATATTTAAATTTTCGACTAAACTCTAATCATCAGTCTTTCTGTTCTTATTGTTCGTATATCCCCATAAAAATTTAAGTTAACAGTGACATCAAGTGGATTTGAATAATAGTTATCAAGCTGATGATCATCTTATTGAAGTGTTACAAGTTAAATTATCTAGTCTGGAGCTCTCATTTATGTTATGTTTAAGTTAATATTAAACAAAATAATTAGTTGATGAGTACTACATATTTGTTTTGTTTTAAATTCTGGTTTATATTTTATTCAATATATAAATTCAATGAAGATATGCCGCCTATTAAGCATAAGAAATATTAAGAAAGTCTGAAAAAATATACTTAAAAGTATTGAAGTCAACAAACAATAGTTGGTTAGATATCCTTAAGAAGATTTAAAAACATTATATAGTTGGTTGGATATCCTTAAGAAGATTTAAAAACACCCTCTCTTCTACCAAATTTTTTTAGGTTAGACTCTATATTAAGTCTGATATCATTATAATAAGTTTTCAGAAGGTTAGATAAATTTTAATTTGTGTTTTGCATTTTAAGGTATCAGTTGCAGGAAGTAATGAAGGATGAAGAGCCTGTTCAGTTATAGGTTATAGCAGTTACTTAGCTGAAGAATCACATATCACTAAATCTTTTTTTTTTTCGTGCTGGATCTCATAACTCTCTTAAAAGTGATTCTGAGTTTAATATTTTATTAAAGCAGCTAGGAGAAAGGAAAGATACTGGATAAAATACTATCACTCAGGTTTTACCAAAAACTTTTTTTTCACCCAATCATAACAGAAACAGACAGAGCTAAGTTATCAAATCCTCAGCTGATGATACTTCTGATGACAACTTCTTTTAATGAAAAACTGACTAGTCTTTAAACTTTTATTTTTATGCAGGTGGTGTTAATATTAAGGATGTAAACATTTCATTAAATATTATAAGAAGATCAAGAAAGCTAAATAGGCAAGTGGTGGCAAGAAAGATAGTAACATCACTCAAAAATATGACTGCTTGAATTTCAGGAATTAAGAATGGAGCTGCAAATCTTTTAAATGAATCCAAATACCTCTTGTTGCCATCTCGTTATAGAAATGATTCTGTGAGCATTTTGGAACTCTTTATTTATAAAAGCTGATATTGATATAGATTTCAAAGATACTCTAAACAGATCCATTCAGAAAGAATGGATCTGTTTAGAGAAGTTTTAGCTCAAAAAACTAAATTGATTACTAGATCTTAAAAAAATTTTCTTCAAAATAGAGGCAAAACTTGTGTGTTCTCAAAGAAAAAAATAAAATGTAAACATTGACAAGGTGATTTTAAGTAAGCTGCAGAATTAGCACTTAATCCCTTAAGCAGACTAGAACCTCAAAGATGGAAAACTTGTGGAGTGAATCATCTTGCCAGATAGATGTCACATTTATTGTATGCGCTAATGTTTATTTTCAAAGATTGATTTTAATGAAGTAAAATTAAAAAACTTCGCCTCAGTTATGTAATTTAAAACTTGGTTAGAAGTAACAAAAGGCTCTGATGCAGTAGTTAATGAAATTCAGTTCCTAATGAATAATTTTGATGATAAACCATTATTATTAATTGTTTTACTTATTCTAAAAATAAATTCCAAAAAATATATTTTAAAATGCTTATTTTTAATAACTTCAAAACAAATTTTTTTTAATAATAACCATTTTTAATAAATAGGTATTGACAAAACATTATATTTCATAATAAAATCTTTTATGTTTCTTACTTTTGTCACATTTATTTTGGGCGGAAAAATTTTAAGAGCAATGAGTTAAAAAGAGTTAAAAATATTTTTTTTTCTTTGTAATCAAATTAAAAATTATTGCAGTTATATAGATCCTAATGAAAATAATTTCATTTTTATTGTTTAAGTTTTGATTTTGTCATCAATATTACTTAATACTGTCTGTGACTGTATATATTGGCTTCTGCAGAATTAGGTCCAAGTTTTGTAGTAATTTTTTTAATTAGTACC